CGCGAAGCAACTGATAGGAAAGCTGTGTCTCCCAGACCAAGGGTTTGATTTCATTGAGATGAGGGGACAGTGGCTGAGAAGAAGAGACTCTGGAATGAAACACTGTACACCCTAAGCTGATCTAAGGGAGTAGGACGGGAAATAAAATAAGTAGCTTTATACAAAACTTATTAACACAAAGTAAAAGGAGGTAAGAGAGAAAGAAGGCAGAGGTGGTCAGCCCACACTTTGACACTGGACACACTTATCCTAGACCTACTGACCACAAGCTCATCACATAGTCTCTCTCAGCCTCAGTATCCTCATAAATGCAGGATTCAAAATAGTACCCACTCCATAAGAATTGAGATTTTACATATACGTATATGTATATATATGAGATTATGTATATATATGATTATGTATATATATATATGAGATTATATGTGTGAATATGTGTGTGTGTGTATATATATATATACACACACACACACATATCGTGTTTAGTATAAAGCCTGGTGTATAACAAAATGCTCATTACATTTGAGTCACACTTTAGAAGGTTTTTGGGCACAAGGTTTGCAGTCTAATAACAGAGGCATTTGGGTACTATCGGGAAGTATCAAATAGGTGACCTTTAATAGAAAAAAATCTGATTTTACTGCCATTTGTTGTCAAGAGACTGTGAATGAGGAGTCCGGCTCAGAATGCGGTGGCAGTCTGAGTGAAATGTTAGAACCTGGGTCACGGCTGTGCCTGGTGGAGGATGGCATGTTTTTCATAAATAATGTGAGAATTTGTCATGAGCAAAATCACAGTCCTAATTCTTCACCAACCACTCACTACGTGTGCACTTTTGCAAGATTACTGGATCTCTCCGAGCTTCCGTGCCCTCACTGTTAAAAGGGGATATTAACCCCAACATCTTGGGGAGGTTATGAGGATTGGGGGAGTTATTCGTCAAGCACTCGGAATAGTGGCTGGCACAGGCTAAGTGCTGTGAACGTATGTGGTGGGTGACATTGAAAGCACAACACAAAAAAACCCTTTAAGCGTTTGTTTTCACTCTCACAAGCACTGTATTTTCCAATCCATAGGAAGTACTGAGACGGCCGGCCGTGGGGACTCACAACTGTAATCCCAGCACTTTGGGAGGCCAAGGCGGGCAGACCACCTGAGGTCAGGAGTTCTAGACCAGCTTAACCAACATGGTGAAACCCAATCTCTACTAAAAATACAAAAAAATAAAAATTAAAAATTAACCAGGCATGGTGTTGCGTGCCTGTAGTCCCAGCTATTCGGGAGGCTGAGGCAGGAGGACTGCCTGAACCTGGAAGGCAGAGGTTGCAGTGAACTGAGATTATCCCACTGCACTCCAGCCTGAGCAACAGAGTGAGACTCTGTTTCAAAAAAGAAACACTGTGAGCTAGTACTTCTCCCATTTGAGGGATAAGGAGAGCGTCTTGAAGATACACAGTCGCAGAGGCAGGAGATATTCCCAGCAAGGAGTGCTCCCAGCAAGGAGTGAGTGCTCCCAGGCTTTCTACCGAGACCAGGCTCACTCCTCTACCACAGGCACCTCTGGTGCCATGAGCCTAAAAACCTGAAAGGGGTGATGTCACAATACTGAGAAATTGGCATGGGCTAATGAGTGACGTAATTTGTGGTTAGAATTCTTCTTACTTGGGTTTTTAGAATCTAAATTCAGAAGGTCATTAGAATTGTAGAAACAAATGAAGACCAAGCAAATGAGAACAGGCAAAGGCTATTTCTTAAGAGCCTGCTCTCGCAAGAGAGTCAGCCTCCATCGCTTGCATTTTGGCAGAGACCCAAAGGCAGGCAGAGAAGTGGGAAAGCTTTAGAGTAGAAAAAGGCAAAGGTTTCAGGTCAGCCCTGTTTGGAGGCTGTTGGCATGGCTAACTAGAAGCAGGGAAACCAGGAAACCTGTGTGACTGGTTAGGGGGCATATTTGGCTTTTTCTGGTTGGACCTAAGTTGGAAAAAGGGAAAAAAAAATCAAGGAAGCTGCCAGTTATGAATCAATTCCTGGTTGTCTGAGACTGATTGTTACAGGGGTTATTGTGTGGCTCCCTGGACCAGTTGCTACAGAGAATGATCTGACTTCCTACAGATCTGATTGACAGACAGTGGGTTGGCTTCCTGGGCTGATTACTAGAGACCATGAATTGATTTTCTGGGCTGGCTGTTGCAGATTGTGGGTCAGGGTTCTCTCTTTGTGTACGGCCCAGCCATTGTCCATTTGTATATTCAGTCTCTCAGAAGACCTGCTTGAAATCCCAGCCCAAGAATTGAATCCCTAACCATTGTCCTGCATGATGGAGAACTTTGTCTTACAAAGTGGCCTACTCCATTCTGAGACAACTCTGTTGCCATATTTCAGTGATATTAATATGTGGAAAACTGTGTCTGCTAGTACTGCCCACTGCTTAGGTCTAGTTCTGTGTTCTGACAGATGCTAGAACCCTCAGTGTATGAAACTCTCTGCTGGCCGCCCCTTGGCAGACACTCCTGATATATAAAGAAGTGCAGGCTTTGTATGTGTGTCATCATCTTGACGACACAGCCTAATCTTTCTTTTTTTTTTTTAATTGCATTTTAGGTTTTGGGTACATGTGCAGAACATGCAAGATAGTTGCATAGGTACACACATGGCAGTGTGTTCTGCTGCCTTCCTCCCCTTCACCCACATTTGGCATTTCTCCCCAGACTATCCCTCCCCAGCTCCCCACCCGCTCTGTCCCTCCCCTATTCCCCACAATAGACCCCACTGTGTAGTACTCCCCTCCCTGTGTCCATGTGTTCTCATTTTTCATCACCCGCCTATGAGTGAGAATATGTGGTATTTCATTTTCTGTTCTTGTGTCAGTTTGCTGAGCATGATGTTCTCCAGATTCATCCATGTCCCTACAAAGGACACGAACTCATCATTTTTGATTGCTGCATAATATTCCATGGAATCTTTCTACTTTACATCTCAGAGATCATCCTCTGCTATGCCCACCCAGGTATTTTATTGCAAATACACAACCACCACAAGATGGCGCTAACTGTGAGAGTAAAACCTCACCGTTCACCTGTTTATACTCGGGGTAAAATGTCTCAGCAAAACAGTATTTCGGTCAGCACCAGTCACTAAAATGCCACCCTAGATAAGTACATGGGACTTGAATAAAATTTCAGTTGATGAATCCACATTCCTTAACTTTCCTTCATAGCAGATACGCTGCTCTCTCTGTCTAGCCGAACTCCAACCACTAGACTCATAGAACATTTACTGTCTTTTCTGTTTTGTTTTTTGGTCCCACATGATGGAGAACTCCATCGTACAAAGTGGCCTATTCCATTCTGAGAATTCTCGCTGTTTCCATATTTTAGTGATATTGAGATTTAGAAAATTGAGACAGAGTCTTGCACAGTCGCCCAGGCTGGAGTGCACTGGCACAATGTCAGCTCACTGCAGCCTCCACCTCCCACGTTCAAGTGATTCCCCTGCCACAGCCTCCCAAGCAGTTGGGATTACAGGCGCCCACCACCAGGCCGGGCTAATTTTTGTATTTTAGTAGAGATGGGGTTTCACTACATTGGCCAGGCTGGTCTCAAACTCCTGACCTCAGGCGATTTGCCTGCCTCGGCCTCCCAAAGTGCTGCAATTACAGGCATGAGCCACCACACCCAGTATATTTGCTTTTCTTAAGCAAATGAATTTTTTCTCTGTCCTTCCAATATTCAAACATGAAGAACATGAGAGAAAGAAAGACATACGAATGGCTCTTGAACTGGTCCTTCTTGGCATTAGTAAAGGAAGAAGGGGTTTTCTAAATTTGTTTTCTACCTAATTAGGTGTAGAACATAAAACAACAATATCAGAGGATCCGCTTCAGACTCTGCAGCCAACCGCAGTGTGTTAACCTCTTATGTGAACACTGTACTCACCTTCTCTGGTCCGGTCTCCCGCATTAGCTAATACATTATATAATAACCTATTATCTAATACTAATACGTTATTAGTATTCTACTAAGGAAGAATACTCAGCAATACTAAGCCTTCTTATACAGTAGAACAGGTAATTTTTCCCCATGTACTCGTAACTTATTCTTCAGCCTCAAACATTTTAGTTAATACTTTCTGTCCATCATGAGTGGATTACAGAAAAAAAACAACTCACTGTCATATTTCATGTTGCAAAGAAAACGTATATATTGAACATTACTTACTATATAATATTCACGCAGAAAAATTCATACCAGTAAACAATATCTCTACCAAGCCCCTCAAGTGTGTGTGTGTCCATATAAAATGCCATTAAGTCATTGGACATGAGTCAAAATGGGAGTACAAGGCAGATCTCAAACAAGAATTTCACTACCTCCTACACCCTATCACTACCACATGAGAAAAAGAACACTCATTCATCCCGTAGACAAAAACCGTACGGAGCAAACTTTCTCACAAACGGAAATCCTATCAGCCTCTCTCCTCTCCTCAGAATCCAACTGTTTTTAGATTCAATCAGTAAATTACAAATAACTTACATTAGTGATAAAGGAAGAAAAATTAATACATAATAACAGTAGGTTAAAAGAAACACGACGTTCTTTGCAGGGACAGGAGCAGAGCTGGAAGCCATTATCCGTAGTAAACTAACACCGGAACAGAAGAGCAAATGCTGCATGTTCTCACTTATAAGTGGGAGCTAAATGACGAGAACTCACGGACACCCAGGGGGAACAACACACACCAGAGCCTACCAGAGTGAGGAGGGTGGAAGGAGGGAGAGGATCGGGAAAAGTAACTAGTAGGTAGTAGGCTTAGCACCTGGGTGGTGAAATAATCTGGGCAACACACCCCCATGACACAAGTTTACCTATGTAACAAACCTGTACATCTACCCCTGAACTTAAAATTAAAACAACAGTAACAATGATAATAATGGGTAGGAATCAACAGATGAGACATGATTTTTCTTTTGCTCTCTGTTGCAGATATGACCAGCTTCTTACCAAACATGTGCTCTCCTTCCACGGTGTTGAACTGTTTCTGGAAAGCAGCTACCCAACTTTGTGTTAGGGCAGAGCCGTATGACTGGTCCTCACCGATGGAACGGGAGCCAGGGTGAATCCCTTCTAGAATGAAATAGACAGAGCAGTTGCGCCTTCCTCGCCATCCTTTCCTATCTGCTCGCTGAAATTATAAGACTCTAAGGTTTACGGGAGATGGAAACTGACAGGATGAAATGAGTTCAAGTTGCTGAGTCACTGCCTGGAACGCCAGCCACAAACACTCGACTTGGATTTTACGTGAGCAAGAAATAGATTCCATTAAGCCACCGAACCATCGGCATTCACTTATGATAGCGGCTATTAATTAATATGAATCATGAATAAATTCACCCACGTCCTTTGGGAGATACCCCTAACCCCTACACTGTCTGATCTCAGTTGAATTGTATTCGCTCACCTCAACTCCATAAAGAAGACTGAATTGCTGGCTCTGCTATTATATACCTAAAGGCCACTGAGCAGCCACAGTTTCTGAAAATCTAATTTTGATAAAAAATTCATAAAGGACTTTGGACTTTAGCTGCGATCAGCCTTTTTACTCTACAGACTGTCATGAAGACCAGAGAGGAATCTCATGAACCTTAGGAACAGGTAGCCCCATGCAAAATTTTCAATCTGTAAGGGAAAGAGCAACTTGTACCCAAACCGGGCCTTAACCCCGGAGGAATCTTCTGTTTCCTGGTTGCGGTTGTAATACTGGACCTTTCCTTCCTTTAAGCCTCAGATATATTATCTCATCATCTCCCTTATTTCATATTTTCACACTGGTAAGACCTTTTTCCTGTTTGCATCTCTCTCCAGGTCCTCCGGTGGAGTTTCGTCTGTGCTAGTCCCACAGCACTGACTCCACACATTACAGCAGGCAGAGAACAGAGGAGAGAGAGGAGCACTCATGGAACAGGAGTAGGGCCCAGATGACATCAGGTCTCACAGGCCATGGTAATGACTTTAGTCTTCACCCTCAGAGGAAAAATGAAACCACTGGAGCACATTAAGTATGAGGATGATACCATCTGCTTTGCTTTTTAAAAAGATCGCCTTGGCCACAGGGCAGAGAATAGGTAAAGTGGGTGATCAGAATGCTGTGGCAGTGATCCAGTCAAGAGATGATGCACCCTAGACCAGAGACTGGCAGAGGGATGGATAAAGGACAGGCTGGGGACAAGGCCTAGACCTGGGGAACAAAGAAATGCTAATGGTATGGGAACGCTTTTAAACAACAGCCCGTGCTCTGTGACTTTATGTCTGTCTGTCTGTTTTCCTTACAGGTACTTTTCTTTCTTGAGACAAGTTCTCGCTCTGTAACCCAAGCTGGAGTGCAGTGGCCCGGACAGGGCTCACTGCAGCCTGGACCTGCTCAGCTCAAGTGATCTTCCCACCTCGGCCTCCCAAACTGCGGAGATCACTGGCATGAGCCACCGCAGGCGGTCTCCTTACAGGCACCCCCCACCCCAACTTTTTTTTTTTTTTTGCAGTTCTCTTAGGCAGGGCTTCACTTAAAAGGTATCTTGCCTCTATAATACAGTAAGCCAAAGCTCGGTCTGGGCCAGCCTGGAACCCTAGATGGTTACTAGAGAGCAACAGCACCTCAACTGCTCTCCCTTCTGCCAAGGCGGAGGGGACTGTCTGCTTTAAAAGCAGCAAGAAAATGTTGAAAAGCTGCACTCTGACTCAATGTGGTTCTGGATTGTGTTTCATTATTTAGCAGTTAAAAGAGAAAATATTTTAAAGACTGTTTCCCTCCTTACAGGTACTTTTTAAGCAGTTGTCCTAAAGGGTGGAAGAGTGTCGCTGAACACACATACACACACACACACACATTCTCTCTCACCTACCTGTAAGCAGTTAGGGAACCATCCATTGCCAGACACCCCCATTCCTCCCTCTCCCCTTAGAGTTCTTTGCTTCCCCACAGATTGTGAAAAGGCTGGAGACTCACAAATGTTCTGTAATTCTGATGTTAATGCCCAGAAACACCATCAGGTAACAGCTTAGGCCTGAGGGGCTCAACCTGCTGAGACCTACCCTGGTAAATGTTCCTATGGCTCGTTCTGCAAAGCAAGCTTTACCTACTACCACCTCCTCAGCAGGTAACCCTTCCCTGACATTCTCTAGGACATAGGGTTTCTGTCCTTTCCAGGTTCTCAGGCTTCAGGGGTGATCCTTGCTAGTTCCCACACCCCACTGCCGCCACCAACTGCGAGGACTGTACGGACTCATTTTACCTCCTCTTTCTTAGGGCCAAACCCCTCGCTGCCCATCACGTTGCAGCCCTTCCTCTGCCCTCCGTTCTGGTCCGAAAGGAGCTGATTTTCTCCACGTCAAGGGTGCAAACTCAGCTCCTCTCACTTTTTCTCTGGAACCTCCACTACATGGCAGATGTTAACTGAAAGAGACAGAGGATGCAGCGTTTTCCCCCTTGGAAGTTTGCCTCGGATCAATCAATTTGCCATATTTAACATTCACGCTTTGTGCATATGCTAATAAATCATTAAAATTCATGTGGATTCTAACAGTTTTGGGTTTTCTTTCTTTTTCTATATTTTGGAATTCCTACTCAATTCTGTGAATTATAATGTTGCAACTGAAAGTAATCACCAGCAGAAATCTTCATTGTACACAGGACTAAAAACAGGAACCTCAAGTTAAAAACTCCATTTGTTAAGTACGTTTTGGCCTTGAATAGTTCACAATTCTGTTTCTCTTTTCCCAGATGCAATACTTATTGACCTCACATGCTTTTATGTGTTGTTGAACACGAGAACAAAACATGCCCCCTGAAATGTCCAGATAACCTAAAGAATCATAAAGAAGCTAGGGACTTGGGAGGTCATCAGAGCCAAGCTCCCATGTCATACAAGACTCTCCTCCACATATTATGCCTGAAAGATCCGGGCATTTGGGTCTCATTTGCTCACTTCAGATGTCCAAAGACTCACTGTGAGATGAGCAGTCCCAGTGCTGGCTCATGCTTACGTTGGAAAACTTTCTTTTCCTGAAATAATATAAATATTCTCATCACTTTGCCTTCTAGGTGCCCCAGAACACTGAAAAATAAACGTTATTTCCTCTCCTGAATGACAGTGTTTAATTTTTGGCACTCGGTTGAGTCACCATGATGTCTTTTCTTCTCCAGACTGTGCATGTCCAGTGACCCCAACTCTCCCTTGGAGGTCAGGTATTACCAATTTCCTCCACATCTGTCAAGATTCACTTTGACCACCCTGGGAACCCTTCTACCTCCTCTCCCCTCATCTCACCATGTTGGACTCCAGATCAGGAATGCCCTAGCAGCACACAGGCCCTAACATAGGCCAGGAGACAGGACGCAAACACCTCAGATGCAGGAAGTCTCATTCACCATTCTAAACCTCAGCACAGCTCTCAGCTCTCTTGGTTTTAACTTTTGAAGCACCAACTGGCTACTCTTAAGCCTGTAGTTCACTAAAACCCAAACTCATTTTTGACATTTTGCTGCAAAGTTAAAACTTCATGACCTGCCTACTAATTTTGAACTAACTGATGGACTTTTCACATATTCTTATGAAGAACTGATTTCCACCTAGCAAGAGGTATGAATTCCTTTTCCAACTTCTATTTTAGGTTCAGGGGTACATGTGTAGGTTAATACAAATGTCTGAATCTTTATTTTGCCATTTGAAATGTTAGCTCTTCTTGTAGACTGCTATCCAGACTAATAAAAAAGAAAAGAAAGAAGAATCAAATAGATGCAATAAAAAAACGATAAGAGATCTCACCACCAATCTCAAAAAATACAAACTACTGTCAGATGACTACAAACCTCTATGCACATAAACCAGTGAAACTATAAGAAGTAGATAAATTCCTGGATGCTTACACCCTCCCAAGACTAAACCAGGAAGAAGTTGAATCCCTGAAGAGACAGATAACAAAATCGAGGCAGCAATTAACAGCCTACCAACCAAAAAAAGTCCAGGACCAGATGGGTTCACAGCCGAATTCCACCAGAGGTACAAAGAGGAGCTGGTACCATTCCTTCTGAAGCTATTCCGAACAATAGAAAAAGAGGGACTCCTCCCTAACTCATCTTATGAGAACAACATCATCCTGATACCAAAACCTGGCACAGACACAACTAAATAAGAAAATTTCAGGCCGATATCTATGATGAACACCAATGGAAAAATCTTCAGTAAAATATTAGCAAACTGAATCCAACAGCACATTGAAAAGCTCATCTATCACGACCAAGTTGGCTTCATCCCTGGGACGCAAGGCTGGTTCAACATATGCAAATCTATAAACGTAATCCATCACATAAACAGAACCAAAGACAAAACCCACATGATTATCTCAATAGATGCAGAGAAGGCTTTTGACAAAATTCAACAGCCTTTCATTCTAAAAACTCTCAATAAAGTAGGTACTGATGGACTGTATCTCAAAATAGTAAGAGTTATTTATGACAAACACACAGTTGATATCATACTGAATGGGCAAAAACTGGAAACATTCCCTTTGTAAATGGGCACAAGACAAGGATGCCCTCTCTCACCACTCCTATTCAACATAGTACTGGAAGTTCTGGCCAGGGCAATCAGGCAAGAAAAAGAAATAAAGGGTATTCAATAAGGAAAACAGGAAGTCAAATTGTCTCTATTTGCAGATGACATGATTATATATTTAGCTGACCCCATCATCTCAGTTCAAAATCTCCTTAAGCTGATAAGCAACTTCAGCAAAGTCTCAAGATACAAAATCAGTGTGCAAAAATCACAAGCATTCCCATACACAAATAACAGACTAACAGAGAACCAAATCATGAGCAAACTCCCATTCACAATTGCTACAAAGAGAATAAAATACCTAGGAATACAACTCACAAGGGATGTGAAGGACCTCTTCAAGGAGAACTACAAACCACTGCTCAAGGAAATAACAGAGGGCACAAACAGATGGAGAAACATTCCATGCTCATGGTTAGGAATAATCAATATCGTGAAAATGGCCATACCACCCAAAATAATTTATAGATTCAAAGCTATCCCCATCAAGCTACCACTGACTCTCTTCAAAGAATAGGAAAAAAACACCTTAAACTTCATATGGAACCACAAAAGAGCCCATATAGCCAAGACAATCCTAAGCAAAATAAACAAAGTTAGAGGCATCTTGCCACCCGACTTCAAACTATACTACAAGGCTACAGTAATCAAAACAGTATGTTACTGGTACCAAAACAGAGATATAGACTAATAAAACACAATGGAGACCTCAGAAATAATGCCACACATCTATAACCATCTGATCTTTGACAAACCTGACAAAAACAAGCAATGAGGAAAGGATTCCCTATTAAATAAATGGCATTGGGAAAACTGGCTAGCTATACAGAAAGCTGAAACTGGATCGCTTCCTTACACCTTAGATAAAAATTAACTCCAGGGGGTCTGTTGGGGGGGAAATAGGGGAGGGACAGCAGGAGTTGGGGTGTTGGGGAGAGATAGCATGGGGAGAAATGCCAGATATAGGTGATGGGGAGGAAGGCAGCAAATTACACTGCCATATGTGTACCTGTGCAACAATCTTGCATGTTCTTCACATGTAACACAAAATCTAAAATACAATTTAAAAAAATTAACTTCAGATGGATTAAACATAAGACCTAACACCATAAAAACCCTAGAAGAAAACCTAGGCACTACCATTCAAGACATAAGCATAGGCAAGGACTTCATGACTAAAACACCAAAAGCAATGGCAACAAAAACCAAAATAGACAAATGGGGTCTAATTAAACTTAAGAGCTTCTGCACAGCAAAAGAAACCATCATTAGTGTGAACTGGCAACCAACAGAACAGGAAAAAATTTTTGTGATCTACCCATCTGATAAAGGGCTAATACCAAGAATTTACAAAGAACTTAAATAAGTTTACAAGAGAAAAACAAGCAAGTTCATCAAAAAGTGGGCAAAGGATATGAACAGACACTTTTCAAAAGGAGACATGAAGCCAACAAACATAAGAAAAAAAGCTCATCATCACTGGTCATTAGAGAAATGCAAATCAAAACCACATTGAGATACCATCTCATGCCAATTAGAATGGTGATCATTAAAAAATCAGGAGACAACAGCTGCTGGAGATGATGTGGAGAAACAGAAACACTTTTACCCTGTTGGTGGGAGTGTAAATTAGTTCAACCATTGTGGAAGACAGTGTGGTGATTTCTCAAGGATCTAGAAATAGAAATGCCATTTGATCCAGCAATCCCATTCCTGGGTATATATCCAAAGGATTATAAGTCATTCTATTATAAAGACACACGCACATGTATGTTTACTGTGGCAGGGTTCACAAGAGCAAAGACTTGTAATCAATCCAAATATCCATCAATGATAGACTGGATCAAGAAACTGTGGCATATGTACACCATGGAATACTATGCAGCCATAAAAAAGAATGAGTTCATGTTCTTTGCAGAGACATGAGTGCAGCTGGAAACCATCATTCTCAGCAACTGACACAAGAACAGAAAACCAAACACTGAATGTTCTCACTCATAAGTGGGAGTTGAACAATGAGAATACATGAACATGGGGAGGGGAACATCACACACTGGGGCCTGTTGGGGGTCGGGGGTTTGGGGAGGAATAGCAGGTGGGGAGGGGGGTTGGGGAGAGAGTGCATTAGAAGAAAACCCTAATGCAGATGACGGGGGGAATGGATGCAGCAAACCACCATGGCACGTGTATATGTATGTAACAAACCTGCACATTCTGCACACGTACTCCAGAACTTAAAATATATATATTTATAAAAAAAAGGAATATTAGCACTTCTTCCCAACGTTCAGTCAACTATCAAAATACCAAACGGAATAGACAACAAAATCTTTCGACAACATTAAAATGTATTAAATGTATTTTATTACTAAAATATGTTAAATGTTAAAATTAAATTTATTTGTGTACTTCAAAAATAAGACTCCAAATGTACTTTCTGATGTGACTTCTGAGGTAAATTTGCTCCCTGTACATAAGAGGATAAAGTAAAATAGGAATAGTCATATTCACAATTGCCAACCTGAGAAACTTAATTTTGAAAGTACATAATCAACTACAGAAAATGGAAGGACAAGAGGTGTGCTGACATCCTGTTGACGGCATTTATCGTGCCGTCCAGGGAAATTTTAGACGTGCTATTCTGCAATCCTTCCCAGCTACTAGGCTTTACTCGCACAGATGCCCAGACTAATGAAAATATGTAACTGAATTTGGTATTCATTTATCATAGCAGTTTCAATAGGTCTTGCACTATTTAATATATACAGAAAAACTTCTAGTCATACCTCTCAATTCAGTGATCTCAAAGAGCCTTCAAAACAGTGACATAAAAACCAGATAGCAAAAGAAAATCAATTTCTTTCAGCCATGTAATGTGCCTTTGGTTACGTTTGGCAGATAAATATGTGCATATGCGCTCAGTCCTGAGATATATGCATATGTAGAATTGCTAAACTGTAGTGCATTTAGCAGTAAATTTATGACCTAATTATTGCTATAAATTCATTACCAAAGCCTTTCCCTTTCACACACCAAGCAAAAATATAAACCTCGAACCCATTATAAATTCTAACTGCAGCCAAACACATCTAATTATAATCAGTTGCAGTAAACTCTCAGTTTGCATTAGGCATAATTAACCATGTGATAAATAATCAGTATAATAGCATTTAATGTGCTGTGATAGAATTTCTAAACTATTCATGTGAATTCTGGAAAAGAGAATATACTTCAATCCTAACCAATGTTTTTAACCCTTTTGTGACTGAAGTTTCATGCAGTGCCCCCTAAGTACACTTACTCCAAAATAAAAAATTGAACATGCTCAAGGAATTCCTTATGTATGCTGTAATAAAAACATCTTCTACTGTCATCAAAGTATTGTCTACTTTAATAAAAATTTAATAGTAAATGACACCTGTATAAATGTAGCCCCTTTCTATATTTTTAAGCATTCCCAGAGTGGCTAAGATTTTTCTTGGTGTAGTAGAGCATACAAGCTAATCAGTGATAACTTTTGATTAATGAATCTGCACTTCAAGAAAGGTCTCACACATGGTTGGTTTCAATACTAAGCGATAACCATGATAATTAAATGTCTTCTCCTTAAAAAGAATAAAAAAATGTCTATTTTGGGGAAGAATGTCCTTTTATTCTAGCAGATAACATTTTTATTACCAACACTAATTTTTTTATTTCTATGACACCAATGTCAATTTTGAACAATATAAAATAATATTTCTGATTTTCTTGTTCTCTGATCAACTTTAGGCTAATTTCTCTCATGTTATTAAATGACAAAATGGTAATAGTACCTATCAGAAGTCCACCTTTCTATTTTATAAATATGACAATGAACATTATGGAATTGCAAATGTTGGTTGTACTGTCATTTGTTTTGCATTGTAATCATGCTTAAAAACAGATCCTAGAGTTTGTAATTTTTTCCTCTGGGCAGAATGTGTCACAATAATATTTGCTCTAGTGAGCTTTAAGCTATATTTCCATTATAAACATCGTTACATGTTGCATTTAGTTACTTATCTCTTTTTTTCTGTCTCTTCCACAGACTTTTGCCTGGTAATCTCTCTGACTCAGTTGACTATTTCTATCTTTATAAGCTATTCTGAATTAACCTTAATTAACCAAAGTTGCTAAGTGAATGCCCTTTTGTGTTATCTACACAATGATTTCTTTGTTTCCACTTCATGAACTGAGGGGTTCTTCCAGAAAACTAGTACAGTTAATTTATCCACATTTCCGCACCATTATGCTCAAATTTGGGTAAATATGAGAGACAACACGCTTCTCATGAAATCTAAGCTGTAGCCTTGTCGGTATTACACATGCTTTTACTGACTCACCCACGTGTCCACAAAGAATAAAGTTGTTGTTGAGAAGCTTTTCTCTCCTCTTCATAGAGAGAGTGGCTATGGATCCAGCCGAAGGATCCTACTTTTATTCCTGCTCTGTTACTGTTTATAAATGATGAAGCTGATATAAAAATTAAGAAATAAATACGGAAGCTACATAAAAGTACTGTTAAAATATTTTCACTCTCAAAAAGCCATATGCCTCTTGAATATAATGGGGGACACGAGAGTGGAAATAAAATATTCTGTGAGAGGACACTCCTCATCTGTTGTCTTTACCGCAGCTCCCCCAAAACATTCTTTTATGCCAGAGACATAGAAACATAGGCCATTTATTTCATGTAGACCAAGCCCTGTGCCACAAATACAAACATGAATAATACATGGTCTCCGCTGTCACCAGACTCACATTTTAATTAGGGAAACTGACTAAAGCACATAAAAAAAATAACTACGGGACACTGATCATTGCTAGAGGATTGCCGTGGAGGAGGCGACTGTTAGAGTCTGAAAAAGAAATGAAGTGAAGCGTTCTAAACGAAGAGGAAAGCAATGTGCAGAAATACAAGTGCCTGTGCACAACAGCCTGGCCCGTCTGAGGGGGTGGCAGGTCGTTTCCTACCGCTGGAGCGCTGCAGGCCTGTGACCAAGGGACGGAGAGGTCACAGAAGGGAAGGCAGTGGAGGACGTTGCCAGCACGCAAACCCCATGCTGACCTCCACGGATGGTCTTGTTATTGATACCCTGTCCCTCACCCCATTCCTGCACTCCCTTCTTTCCTTATTTACTCAGCTTAGATGCCATGATGCACCATTCGGATCACAGTTCGCAAACACCTTCTGATCCTTTGTCCCTTTCTTGCTGTGCCACGATCCCCGAACAGAACCCAAACCCTCCCTCTTCTTCCTCATCCATGGCTACAGCAGAGCAGCTGAGCTGGAGGAAAACAGCAGGAACGGACGCCGTCCTATCGGCACCATCATAGTCATGCCAGTTCACCTCACATTTTTTATTACAAATCTCAGCCTTTGTAATACCACTGCCTTTTTCCGGTAGTCTGTTCGTCCCCTCGACGACCTATCTCGTACGTTCCTTCCCTTAAAACATCAGGCCGGGCGCGGTGGCTCAAGCCTGTAATCCCGGCACTTTGGGAGGCCGAGGCGGGTGGATCACGAGGTCAAGAGATCAAGACCATCCTGGTCAACATGGTGAAACCCCGTCTCTACTAAAAATACAAAAAATTAGCTGGGCACGGTAGCGCGTGCCTGTAATCCCAGCTACTCGGGAGGCTGAGGCAGGAGAATTGCCTGAACCCAGGAGGCGGAGGTTGCGGTGAGCCGAGATCTCGCCATTGCACTCCAGCCTGGGTAACAAGAGTGAAACTACGTAAAAAAAAAAAAAAAAAAAAAAACCAGCAGCTCCCCCTCACCCATCTCCCATTTCAGTGAGAAAATAACAGGCATCAAAAGAAAGATGACATCATTTCCCGTCAGTTTACTTGCGTCTCTGCCTACAATCTGACTTGTCTTTTATAAAACTGGACAGACAATAAGCGCCCCTGTCTATGTCCGCTTGTACACAGGACCCGTCCTCTCCTGCCCACCTGGCTGAAACGGCGATGTGTGAGACCAACCTGTTTCCTGCTCTGCTACATCAGTCCTTCCTTTCTCCCAACTCCTGCCCGTCACTTCAGACATGCTGGAATAGGTCCCATATTTGCATTCCCCTCCTTTACCTCGTGTGCCGTTCCAGCTGCTATACCACTTCCCTAATTTTTATCAAAGCAAAACTCCCTGAACATACTGCTTGGATGGGCTCCCTCTACTTTCTCACCTGATACTCTTTTAAATCCGCTTTTCTCAGATTCTATCACTCTACTGAAATTGCTCTCATCATCGTTTCCAATGGTCTCCATTTTACCAAGTAAATAGGTAACTCTCAATTTTCATCTTATTCAACCTACTTAAAAAAAAGAATCTTCCCTTCTAAAATCATGCTTCACTGGACGTTGAGGACTCCGGCGCCCCCCGGCTTTTCCCCCCCCTCACTGGCCACTGCTCCATAGTCCTCTGGGTTGGTCCCTCCTCCGCTTCTGACCTTGGTGCTTCAGGACTCTGTCATCAGTCTTCCCTAATGACGCGCTTCCCCTGGGTATCTCATCCAGCCCCAGAATTTTGAACACTATCTATACGGTGAGTCTTGTCTCCACTTGTATTAGTTATTTATTACTGCATAACAAATTACCCCCAAATCTAGAGGCTTAAAACAACAGACACTTATTATCTTCATTCCTGCGGTTTAGGAGTCTGGGAACGGCTTAACTGAGTGCTCCTGCCTCAAGGTCTCCGTGAAGTTACAGCCCTCCGAAGATCCGAGGGGCTGAGGGATCTGCCTCCAAGCTCACCCAGAGGGCTGCTGGCAGGACTTCCTCCTTCATACAGGGGCTGCCCACAGCATGGCAGCTGGCTTTTCTCAGCTGAAAATTTTGAGAGAGAATGCTCAAGACAGAAGCTCCAGTCTCTGTGTAACCTAATCTCAGGGGTGGTGCACCATTACTTCTATTAGAAGCAAGTAGTGAGTCTAGCCCACACTCAAGGGAAGCTGATTACTCAAGAACATGAATATCAGAAGATAGGGATCAGTGAGGACCATCCCAGA